GAAGAAATTTCTCACTTAAAGAAATCTCAAAACTGAATCTTGTTTTAAATATTGTTAAATACTAACAAATAATATAGTTGTTAAATAAAAGGTCTCATATACTCCTTTGTTACTGGATGTGGTGAGATGCATACTGGGAGACAGTCATTGTAGTAAAATGTGCACAACAAGAACCCTGTTTGGAGCGTTCTCGTGCAAATGTGGAGCCAAGACAAGGGACAGGAAGAGGAAGTGGCTCCTGCCTCTGAGGAGACGCTCTGGAGGAAAAGACGACATCCTGAAACTCTGCAGCTCCGACTTCACAAAGCCAAACTAAAACAAACTGCTCTGTTCTGTTCTTCAGCCCAGTTCAGACGCTTCTTATTCACTACGTTTATCTGGCTGGAGTTACAGGTCACAGTGAAGGTTCTCTGTTACACTGAACATAAGAAACATAACCTGTTTGCATGAAAAAGTGACGAGTCATCTTTACAGAATTCATTCAACTTAGAGCAGCAGTTTCCAAACTTATATCAACTACATCCTGACTGGGATGAACCACCCCCACCAATTTGTCCTTTTTGTGCTTCTTCTACCTTCTCCACAGCTCTCTGTGACCCCGTTTTGTTCTGTCAACTTCACCCTGCATTTCCCGCAGGGAGCATTTCAGAATCAGAGCGTTTTGCCTGTCTGATTTTGTTGACATGTTTAGATTTTGTTGATTTGGTAATTTTGTGCTTCTATTGTGATTACGTAGGCTATGTAGTTAAATTATTTTGTTTGGTGTTCGTTTTAACTGTGTTTATTGTTGTTTTACGATCAGGAGTCTCCACAGGGTGTTTTATTTTGAAAATTGACTGGATCCTCTCTGCCGTTCTGTGTCTGACTTCCTGCCTGGTTCGATCTGTTCTGTGACGCAACTAGCAGCAAAAATAGACCTGCTACCTCTTCTCTTAGGCGCAGAGAGCCACTTCTGAGACACGCTGTGGTTGCGTCTGGTGGACTCAAGAGTATTGACTATATTGGGCCGTGATTAGCTCTGGCAACAGCCGTAATGTGCTTTTTGTTAACATTGCTGGGTTTTATAGTAACTTGATTTTATTTATGGTAACGTTGGTTTTTATGCTAACGTTCCTTTAATGCCAACGTTCCATTTTGTTTATGCTAACAACACTGTTTTTTATGCTAACATGAATTGTTTACGGTGACTTTATTTTTAATGTTAATGTTACTTTTTGTTAATGCTAACATTCCTTTTTTTTAATGCTAACGTTACTCTTTATTAATGCTAAAATGTTACTTGTGTGTAGCTTGTGTTTGCTGACCGTTAATGTGTTGAGAAACTTGCAGTTTTGTCAAATTTGTTACTACTGTAGTGCGTTGTGTTGTTTGCGTTAGCATAATTAATGCTACTATAGCTGCTCTTTCTCACTCATATTAAGCTAGTGAATCTCTTGAACCTCCACACTATGTGAAATTCTTCTTTTGTCTTGTAGAATTGATTAAATGATTAGTAGACTGACAAAAAATTTATCTGCATCTTTGATAACTGATCACTCGTTAAAAGTCATTTTTTAAACCAAAATACCAAAACATTCACTGGCTGCAGCTCTTTCTCAGGCTTCTACGTTTATAAATTGAATATGTTTTTTCAAAACTGTTTTTGTGGCTGGTAAAATTAGATCCTTTGTGAGAACAACCCCTGGTGGGTTTGTGATATGATTATTTTGTTATCTGACACCACAAGAGTCCTTTCATCGTTTGGGGAAGTTGTTTTGTCTACTGGTCATTTATTAAACTCACTTCCCCCAACTTTATTTTCCCGAATAAAACTGCTTCACACAACAGCAGCACAGGCAATCCAGAACCTTCATCTCAAATCACACCTTTGAATATTAAATCTCTTTTCCATGAATTTGTGAAACTTTAAGTGTACCTAAATGTTCCCCTCAAGTTGAACTGTAATAACTTTTATGATCCCCTGACTTTAGCGCCATCATCAGTTCAACATGTTAATTTGTGGTTTATGACCAAACACCTGCAGAACAAATGAGCTTTCCAACAGCTTCAGCTGTACTCTGTGTTTACTGCTAATTAGCTAATGTTAGCATGCTAACATGTTAAATAAAATGTTAATACAGTATACCTGCAAAAAACATTACATTAGCTTCAGTAACTGTAGCTTTAGTGACATCAGCTTCAGTAGCATTAGCTTCAGTAACATTAGCTTAAGTAACTTTAGCTTTAGTGACATTAGCTTCAGTAGCATTAGCTTCAGTAACATTAGCTACACTTTTACAACAAACTGCAACCTTCTTGATTTAAATTATCTTTTAAACTTACAAACATCATATGTGTTATTCAGGACACAATTCTAAACAGATAAAAACAGTTTTCTCTCCCAGTTGACTAATCTACATATTCTATTGTTTTATTTATCTATTCTATTCTAACCGCTGCTGCTTATTATGGGTAACACCGTTGGCGGGGGAAAAACAACAGTAGGCAGATGTGCAGTATGAAACATGTTTTAAATGTATTGTCACATTTAAATAAAACTACAGTAAATAAAAACAAAATCATCAACAAAAATAATCACATTTAAGTTTACAAGTAAATTAAATTTAATCATTGTGAAAAATTTGAGGCTGCTGAACAGCTTTGGTAACAGACCTTGCTAGATATTTACTGTGTCTCAATTTGCGTCTGTACTTACTACTGTGTATAAGTGTATAAGTGTTCACACCAAGCCGAGTGGAAGCCAACGCTGAAGCACCTTAAACCTGCATTCTCTCTAGCAGCCAGCAGGGGGGCGACTCCACTGGCTGCAGAAAGAAGTGTGATTGTATAGAGCTGATTTATTCCCTCAGTAAACACTTTCCTGATGAGTTTATGGTCTCAGTCGCTAGTTTCAAGTTTTCTTCAACACAGCATGATGTTCATTTAGTAAATTATGGTCCCATTTAGAGGAAAATAGACCAGAAAGCAGGGGAGGCTTTAGGGCGGGGCTACAAGCTAATTGACAAGTCTCTACCATACACTGCTCTGTGTACATTTAACCAGCGGCATTAAAGCTTATCAGGAGTCGGCTGCTCATTTTTCCAGTAAGTACGTTTTGTTTTAAGCCTGTTTGTCGCTAGCCAAAATTAGCATCCCCGTTACAGAGTTAACGTGAATTACAGATGCACTTAGCTCATTGACAAGTGTGTCAAAGTGCCCAAATGGTGTACTCATAATGCTCAAAAAGGTTGAGTGTGGAACGCTGGACACATCTCACCCTCAACGGTCGCCATCTTGGCTACGTAGCGCGACCAATGACGCTGCAGCGGCTGCGATTATAAATGTATCAGTACATTCGTTTTTGTTTTGTTTTTTTTAATAAAATTTAATTAAAGTCAAGTGAGCAAACAAGTCGGCAGATATTTTTGCGGAGAACAGTCGTGATAATGACCCGCCAGGTTACAATTCGCCATTAAAATGAAGAAGAAGAATCTATCGAACCTTGCGATCGTCGTTTCGGGTTAGTGCTCAACAGCTATGTTCAATTTGAGAAGACACTACCCTGTTGACATTTACACACTACGCAAGTGAATGCCTATTGTACACAGTGTACGGCATGTTAGTGTACTGAGTATCCGAATTGGGGCACAGCTATTGTTTTTAGCCATGTTAGCATTAGCATGTTGCTCTTTCATGTTTTCTTGTAAACAAGCAAAGTTGTTTACATTCAGGGTTTCTCACTAAAACACACAATGTGTATCTTCTACCCAACATATCGTTTCTCATAAAACATTCTCAGATTTTAAAGCTTGCAGTCATTACACCTACTTCTTCTTCACGGCCTTTGGCTGACGTGTTGCTGTCCGTCAGTGGACTCCCAGCTTTTACACGAGAGTCAAACTAAACAGTGGCCCTTTTCCTGAAAACGCACTTTTACGTACCTGATACCGTCTCCCGACTAAAATGTGTCAGTCCTTCAGTGTGTCGAAAACCTTTGTTACAGGATTAGCACACTAAGAGAATTATTTCCCTCTGAGCTTTTCATGTTTGCCGACGTGTTTTTCAGTGCTTTTTAAAAATGTTTCGAGCGTCAGGAGAGCGATGCCACATGCAACAATGCTGAGTGGACAATATATATTAATGTGCATGTAAACACTGTCTTATTGTGTCTGTCTGCAGTGAAACTCTCAGTATCAATAACCATTTCTTTAACTTCCTTATTTCTATTTACATGAGTCCGTGACTCCACCAGAGCTGCTTCCTGTTCGACCCGCCCGTCCTCTCAGACCATCTTCACACTGATGCAAATTCATTTAAAAACAGCACAGATTAGCCTGTGTGTGTTTACATTTAGTCAAATTGGCTCTATAAAAGTAGCTGAATTTGCTGTCAGCAGCCCCAGTTAGCAGTTAGCATGGATGTACAGCCAGTGATCACTGGGGTACTGTGAGACTGAAGAACTTAAAAACATTCTCAGGGAAGTTCTGTAGCGTCTCTCTCTGGTTTCTAAGCTCACATCTGGACTGTTTGTTCTGGACGGACATCTGAGATAGGAATGTGATTTTTGACTGAAATTGCTCTTGACGTCAGGATACCAGAAATTTAGTAGTCGATACCGATATCAGTGAAATTCCACGATTCTCAACACTAATTTGATACCACAGTAAAAAATAAAACCAAACAATAGATCCCATGTCTTTCAACACACATGATGTCCAGGATAGATAGTAGTGTGATGTTAATATATTTGGAAATGAGAACGCTGTACTTTATTATAGGAGACCTATTAAACTTCTTTTCCAGTCCTATATTGTAGTTCTGTGACTCCTCTATGGCAGCTTTGCATGATTGAAGTTCTAAAAAAAAATGTTTTTGTCTTATACTGACTCTTCATGTAGGCCTTCATTTCAGCCTCTGTCTGAAACAAGCTGTAGATGCTCCTGTCTCTTTAAGGCCCCTCCAGCCAGTTTAAACTGCCGGTTTTGGTTAACGTTCTTTCTCAAACAGAGAATGGAGGTGTGGTTAATAGTCGGACGTAATACATTACCATGACAACCAAAAACTGACCGGCTGCAGTGTTCACTAACATCACTACACTGTAAAGTTTAGTACACTTTACTGTCTGGCAGGAGTAGCTATTACTTACCAATGATAGAAACAAATGTGCGCGTATCAGCTGCTCAATCATACAGTCGATGGTTCTGTCACGCACTGCACACGCACACTACGTTTTATGGTGCGCTTACTTTACTTTTTGTGTCGTAAAAAAAGCAGGTAGAAAAAGCAGTTCAAAACAGAAATCTGAGGTTTTTGCTCACAGGGATTTCTTTTGAATACTTTAACCTCATTATTTGAAGCTTTGGCCATGTTTAACATGAACATCTAACATTATAACACTGTAGATAAGTTATAAAATGTGGAAAAGCATAATAGGTCTCCTTTAATACATTAATTCTTAACTTTTTTCTACAAACTCGACAGTTGAAATGGATCGTATTGCACTTTTAAGATGGTCCCTGTCAGACAGACATCTTTGATGATTTTGAGTTGATCAGAACTGTAAAACTTCTGCCTAAATTAATAGTTCTCCAACATTGGGAGAGATCAAGGCTTTGACACGGAGCTATGGAAGGTAACAGCTGCCAAAACTGACCAATGTTAGATATTAAGCACCCCGGTTTCCCAACATGACGGCGGAGCTGCAGCTGCACTTTTCCTACGGTACTGTAGAAAAACTAGTACCATGATGTTTTCAGAAATATGGCATCGACTTGGTACCAAAGTATCGGTTCTCTTAACATCCCTAGTATTAAATGATCTTAATCTCCTCCCTGAGCAGTCGGTCACCGTGTTAGCGAGCCGACCAATTAAACTACAATTACTACAATAACTTCCTGTTGTTGTTACATCTCCTGCATGCGGCTGTGATTGGATGAAGTGAACCTTGTTTTTTAAAGTGAAGTGGGAGAAAAAGATGGAAAAAAGTTGTGAGCTGTGGTTTCATCGAGAACGGGAAAGTTTAAAAAAGCAAAATAAAAACATTGAACTTTGAACTGAAAATGGATTTGTATCAGAGAAGGTGAAGATGGTCTGAATTAAAACTCTTCTTTTGCCAGAAATATTTAAATTACCTTTGTCTAATTCTTCAAAGATAAAATTCTAACCAAACATTAAAAAAACAACATTTTAGCATAAATCTTGCAAACTGTCTCTCAGGCAGTTCAGCGACTGAATCAGCCCGACTCAAACCGGCCCCGGGGAGGTTCCCAGAGGGGGTCGAGGCTCGGTCCTACAGCAGGACGCAGGGCTTCTTGGTGACGGTGGGCTGCGGGTTCAGGAAGGACCTCACGGCCTCGGCGAACACGTCCTTTATGCCGTCCTGGTTGAGGGCCGAACACTCCATGTAGCGGACGGCGTGGATCTGACGAGCGAGGGCGGCGCCTTGCTGGTGGGTGACGGGCGTCTGGTTCTGCTCCTTCAGCTTCCTCTGAGTCTCGCCGTCGTTCCGGAGGTCGCTCTTCGTGCCGACCAGGAGGATGGGAACGCCGGGACAATGGTGAGAAACCTGAGGGTGATAAACAAGAAAAAAACTGTGAACAACTACAAACTATATACTTTAGGTTTCTCTTCTTTCCTGCAGAGAATTCAGGACGTTCGTTCAGCAGATTATTTTGTTTTTGTCGGTGTCGAAAAAGGAAAATTACCGTTCTCCTGTCTTCATCTTGAAATTGGTAATCAAATACACTAAAGTTTTATTCGTGTTCTGTCATTTTGCTTTGTCCGCTGTGCGCATGGACACCAACACCAAGAAGAAATGTGGGACAATGAACGTTAACAAACTGTCAGGTTCATCATTGATCACAGACTGTGGACTGTTATTAACGTAGGAGCGATCAAGTGCGTTATTAGAGACATAAAGTAAATAAAGTCTGCTGTTCGTTATCATTACAGCGCTCAGCCTTCTGTATCTCTGGTATAATAATCCCTTTATGGTTATACTGTAAAGTTTAATATCTGCCACGAACAGTGTTGGCAGTAATGCGTTACAAAAGTAATATAATTACAGTAATGTATTGCTTTTTGCTGTAACACAGTAATATAACACATTACTAAAATAAAATCAGTAATATTATACCCATTAAGAATCTCAGTAACGCGCGTTACAACGCATTTTAACCCGAGATTAAGTGGTGTTTTGTTTTTTTAATAATTCACCAACACCAAGAAACATTTCAGCAGAAGAAAAACAAATCCAAGAGTAACAGAGTGTCGTTAATTCCTGTTGAGGAAATCCGGTGGTCGAGATTGGAGGCAGGGTGCAAACTACGGGGGAGCTCGGCTCTTAGCTGGCCAATCCACATCACTAGATCCCCCCTATGCAGCACAGCTTACTATCAGAATCATGCGCCCATTAAACAGCAGTGGAAGGAAAAGTAGTGTAAACCATTACAATTCAGAGACAGTAATATTGTAATATAACTAATTACTCTCAAATGACAGTAACTAGTGACCTATAATGTAGTACATTTTGGGAGTAACTTGCCCATCACGGGCCACGAACAATATTCTCCTCAGAAATCTTTAACATGTAACTTTAGTTTAGATAGTTTTACACCGTGAGCAGAGTGTCATCTACATAAAGCAGAAATAAAACTTTTGGGTGTTCTTGTTTTCCCACTTTTAGATGAAAACAGGAACATAACTCTGACCTGTTTGTTGTTGAACACGGACAGAGTTCAATGCTCTGATGTATGCTATATGAAGCTACAGACAGCAGCTGGTTAGCTTAGCTTAGCATAAAGACTTTAAACAGCTGGTGGATGTTTGTTACCTTTATACAAACTGTTAAATCCCGTCCAGTAAGGCTCAAGCAAATAATGTTTCTTTTTTACATGATATATATAAACCACAAAGCCAAAGAAAAGAAGATAATAAATAAATAAATTTTCTGACACAATAAACTATTTGAAGGTGTCCAAGGCCTCAGGTGATCAAGACCCTGATGTGTCATAATTTAAAAGCTGCGGCTGTCCTTAAGGTTTCATTTATTAATCAATTTATGGAAATTTCAGCGCCCTCATCCTGATCGATCAACGCTTATAAGACATCAAAAAACCACAGATACAAAGTCGAACAACAGTTAACCATTAAAACGTTGTTTAAATAAATGTCTGCCTCTTTAATTAGATGTTGATCTCTGACCTCTGGATGCCACTTGTGTTTGACGTTCTCGTAGGAGGCGGGGCTTGAGATGGAGAAGCAGATGATGAAGACGTTGGTCTGCGGGTAGGACAGCGTCCTCAACCGGTCGTACTCCTCCTGACCCGCTGTGTCCCACAGGTTCAGACTGATGATCCTGCCGTCCACCGTCACCTGAACGCACCACACATTCAGTCAGTGTTACGAAACTGTTTGGTTCATAGCAACCTCGGAAATCTATCTATCAATATTGTTTTCGTTTATTAACATTCACTAGTTCAAGCTGCTAAATTGTGATGATTTGCTGCTTTTCCACATCTTGTATGACAGTAAACTGAATTACTTTTGGGTTTTTGACCATTTGATCAAACAAAACGAGACATTTGAAGCGGACACACACCTGGCTGCTGTAGTTGTCGAACACCGTGGGGATGTACTCTTTGGGGAAAGCTCCGGTGGTGTAGGAGATGAGGAGGCAGGTCTTCCCCACAGCACCGTCGCCCACAACCACACACTTTATACTCTGCATGATGACCTCTGACCCTTCAGCAACCTGCAACACATTCACATTTAGTCATCTGGCAGACGCTTTTATCCAAAGCCACGCACATTTGAGGAACAACATGCAAATATAAGTAAAGTAAGAGGTCCGCGAGTAACAATAGAAACTAGTAAGAGCTGTTAGCATGTACGGCATCAACGGGATAAATACCTTAAAGAGGTGTTATTCTGCTCATTTTCAGGTTCATTCTTATTTAGAGGTTGTACCAGAGCAGGTTTACATGGTTTCATTTTCAAAAAATACCATATTTTTGTCCTACTGCACATTGCTGCAGCTCCTCTTTCCACCCTGTGCTTCGTTTTAGCTATGGAGTGATACATCTTGTCTCTAAATGATCTTTGTTGGGAGTTGCACATGCTCAGTTCCTAGTTAAGGACTACTAGCCAATCAGAAGCAGAGCAGGGCGGGTCAGCGAGAAGTCGGTAAACAGCTCGGGTTCAACCGTACGTGTTGCCGACCAGCTTGGCAACATGGACAAACTTGGCGAACTCGGTATTGAGAAACAGTCTTTAGTACCTGTTGGCAGCACCAGACTACTGACGGGTACAAAAGTCTGGGACCTCTCCGTTAATTTTTCATTCCCGAGGGGCGTTATTAACGGGCGCTGACCAAAATGGACGCAGTTTGATAGACCTGCAACCAATCAGAGCAATGAAACGTGTGACTAGTTCTGAGTGACACGTCAGTCGTCGTATCAAACGAGCCCCCTATTAGATAGTTAGATTAGATAGTGTCCTGCGCTCTTGTGGCATCTGATACTCGAAATACTCTAAACATTTCGAGGCCCAGATCCGAGTATGCCGAGGCAAGGCAACACTCGGATCTCCCGGCACAATGAGCAGGTGAGCGCTCAAGAGATTTACTCATTAGCATAGTGGACGCCCCTAAGAGCTTCCTGTTGTGCTCCGTGTGGGCTTCATCCACAAAAATGTGCCCAAAAAGTGAAATGAAGAAGTTCACCCATCTAGGTGTGAATTCAGCACGACGATAAGTTGACCAATACTATAGGAGGAGGTCATGCGACAGTCAAGGACATATTAGATGAAGTTACAGGTCAGGTGAGACCTGCAGTAAGACTCATGTCTGTGCTGAAATATGTCCATAAACACTAAAAACCGCAGTAAACTGCCATTATTACTTGTATAATTATAATCTCCAAAGTCATTCAGATGAAGGTGTTACGATGTGAGACTGTAGTCGACTCGTACGACTTAAATGGATTTCGTTCGTACCTCAAAGAAAATTCTAGATAAGAGAAAAGATGTGGCGCTGAAGCCCGGATCTGTGGGTACGAGGCCCAATGTTCCAGACTATTTAGTGAGAAACATAAAGTGCAGTTACCTGTCCGAGTTTACCTGCAGTGAATCTGATTGGTTGGCTCGTCCAGCTGCCAGAGACCCTTAAGTTTCCTTCAGTTAACACAGTTTTTTCAGAAACACGTGACGTCCCATCGTCTGACTGCAGGGAGAGAGAGTGGGCGAGAGAGTATCCGCCGTCAGTATTTGTGTTTATGGAAATCATCGCTGCAAAAGGAAACGGTCTCCAAACAAAGCAGAGATGCTATCTCACACACACACACACACACACACACACACACGTTTATTTACATTTACGTGACAGAAAGACAGATTGTCTACGTCTCTTTGTGTCTCCTTTCCTTCTTCTGCATCAGCCTGAGACACAACAGCAACAACAACAAATCCAGTCTTATTGTCAGACAGTTGTACACAGTACAACACACAGTGAAATCCGTTCTCTGTTTTTAACCCTTCGCAGCATCAGGAGCTCCACCGTGCAGCCATGTGAGCGGCTGGTCAACGAGAATTAACCCAACAGGAACTTTACCCCGGAACCAGGAACCTTTAGAGGAACTCGCTACGTTTCCGCCGCAGGGACCAGTGCATCCACATTGTGTCCAAGTCATGCCCTGATGTCATGTCTGATTCACCAGAGTCATGTTCAAGTGGTCCAGGTCATGTCCAAGTCATGCCTGAGTCCCTGATGTCATGTCCAAGTCACCATGGCCAAGTCTGAATCGCCAGTGTCCAGGTCGTGTCCGAGTCAGGTTCAAGCCGTACAGGTCGTGTCTAAGTCATAAGTTAATGTTGAAGTCGCCACCTCGCTCTCTGATCCCCAGCTCGTGTCTGAGCTGCAGGGTTATGTTTCAGTCAGTTTGAGCAGCACCTCTGTAAACCAGCGACAGAGCGTCCTCCCTCTGTGTTAGTTTGTGTGCCTGTTTCACGTTTCAGTGTTTCAGTCTGAGTTTCAGTATTCGAGTCAGCGGACACACATGTGCTGCAGAACTTGGACTTGAAGAGGAAAGAGAACAGCGGTGATTAAAATATAAAACGTGAACATGATCACGGTGGACTCAACAACAAAATAGTGACTCTGCAGTGTCTCTCTCCAGATGTCTGGATAGAGAAAGTGGCTCAGCCCAGACCCTGGGGACGCTGACCCCACCTCCCCCCCCCTCTCTGGGCGGAGGTCGGCTGATCTCACTGCTATTGGAAGCTTTAACCTCTGATCTCACAGTCTTTCATTTTACCCTGATGACTCTCCTTCGTTGTTAAAGGGTGGACAGGGAGGAGAAATGTGGCCTCTGACCTTTGCAGATCAATAACTTAAAGTTAGTTTTCTTATTGTTAAAAAATCCCACATTTAGACCCAGAGACACTGAAGAAGAATGAAAGAGACGTTTAACGTGTTGTAACGATGTCCTTTTGTAACTCAGATGCAGTTGGAAAAAAGGAAGCTTTCAGTAGAAAAATGTCATTGTGGTTTCATGTTGAAATAAAGCAGCAACTTCTGTGAAGAAAACTGCCGGAACTCAGAGGTGTGATGTGTGACTGTCCGGTTCAGAAGGGCGTCAGGCCATTTCAACACATGCAGTCTAATTATATTCACTGAAAGTAGCTTAATGTTACTTAATAAATGGCTTCCCAACGCCGACATCACTTCTGTTTGAGTCAGAGCGGAAGCGTTCGGCTGCAGTTCCTCTAACGCCCACTAGACGATGCTGAGATTAAACTGTACTGAAGTGAACGGGAAAATCCTCGACTTCTCTCTACTAACACAAAGACACTACAGTTTGTATAAAGGACATCATGCTCCTGGGTCTTGGTGGCCAAAGTCAAGTTTTTATTCAGCTACTTTTGAACATAAGTAAGTAAGTAATAAGTATTTTCTACATGATCTGACCGAACCAGACCAAAGTGATGCAGCGTCCTAGCTGTCCAGTGAAACCAACGACTGTGAGAGAAAGAAAGAAGAGAAAACACATTGAGAAAAAAAGAGGAAGAAGAATCGAGATCAGTAATAGCAGGCTGTAAATGACACATTCATTGTGTAAAAGCAGCCTTCCTCTAAGTGTGTGTGTGTGTGATCGAAGTGTGAATCTGAAACAAACACATACACTGCTGAATTTTATTGCCAGTTAATTATTAGCATAGAACGTTATAAATAAGTTGGAGGCATGAACATATTTACATGAATCATCATTAGGGGGAATAACAGCAGGCCGGCGGGCGGGGCTGTCAAAGCATGGGTGCGTATGCTATACCATAGTCCCATACTACTCAGAAAAATATTTAGTATGTCCCAATACATAGGAAGGCAAGCTTGGTATTCCAAAAGTACGAAGCATTGGCCTAATTTTGCAGTCTGCATGCTTTTTCTGGCTATTCTCACCCACAATCCTCTGCACGGCAGCGCACGCTTTATGATGGCTGCTGCAGTACGTCCTGAAGGTAAAAAGACAAAGTATTTGGAACGCAGCACCAAGATACTACAAGCTGAACAATGTACAACTCTGATGTTACAGCTCTAGATGGAATCCGCTCAATTGCTGAGACTGATGGGAACTGTAGTGTTTAGAGCATTTCAACAAACTTGGTTTATAAGAAAGAAGATAACATAAAACTACTTTCTGGCTCAGTGACCCAAGATCTCCTCAGAAGGGTCCAAAATCACTCCCTGTTTCACTCATTCACTACTTCCTATATAAATAAACACCATTAATTATTAATGCGCTCTAAGGTGCCGTAAACTAAGAGTTTGGACACCTAACCCTATGAATCTGCTATCAAAAAGTAGCAAACATCCCATTTTTCTTGAACCAGCTGGACGTGTGCGGACGTTGTCCAGGATGATCCTGATGGGATACCAGTTTGACGTGAAGGATTGGGCTCTTTAACCTATCTCTAACGATGTCACATACAATGACCCCTCACCTCCAACTGCATTTTCACTCAAAAACGAAATATTCTCAAAGTAAAGCTGGCGCGCGTCCACACGCTACAAAGACGGAGTCTGTAGAGCGTAAAAACACCATGTAGTTCGGCCATAACACTGCATTCACACTTGCAGACACACATTAGTAGACAACCTCTCATGAAACTCTAACTCCTCATTTACATACTCCGACAGGACAGCTGCTCTCCGACTTAGCTGCTGTTCTATGCACAAGGAAGTACTTCACTTCCGTGTTTGCTTTACCTGAGAACAGCAGCAGAGATTTGATCTGGGTCCTTCTTACCTTTACTGGCACGCGCTGTTAAGAGTTTTAACACAACAACACCTGAGCGGGCAAGACTGATTGGCACTGTGGTCCTGTATCTGCACTGGAAGCTTGAAACAAGCGTGATTGGCTCACACCTGGTTTTCCCAGCCTCCCCCTGTTGGGCTGCAGGGCACGTTTTAAATCTGTAGCTCAGCGGGCGACGCCGGGATGCAACACCAGGTCCCATTCAAAATTAAAAAGCAGCCTAGTTTGAGTTCGTAAGGTTGAGCCCAGCCGCCCTACGGAGGCGTCTGCCGCTCATCCCCTTTTACCCTCACTGGTCAACAAGACTTTGAGATACTTGAACGCCTTCGATTGGGGCAGCAAGTCACTCCAAACCCAGAGGGAGCCATCCATAGATGGGTTAACCAAGTCTGAGTCCCATTGCCCCAATTTGTTTTCAATTGTAGGAATTTGGTAAATTTAGTATGATCATGTCACACTCTGCTCAAAACTCAACAATTCCAGGAGTTTCAAATTAAAAGCCTACCAGGAAAGGAAGGGGTTGTGCCTTCCCTTTCCTGGTAGGGAGGGATAACCCTTTGAGCGCCAGCCGGGTTGGATGTGTTGAGATTCAGCCAAAGTAGAAGCGACTAGAATGAATCAGTGAGAACAACTGAGAAAGTGTTTTGAGCTGAGTGCAGAGGAAGACGTGGACATGCATTCATGCTGAATTTATAAAGTCACTGGGTAAACACAGAGGAAAGGTCGAGTTTGTATCAACCGCAAATTCAAAGAGGTGCAGATTAGAAAACAGGGAGGCTTCGTCCTTAAATATCATCAAATACACTTAGAAAACAGGGAAATTAGAAATAAAGTACGTCTCTAATAGAAGCCTTTTCTCTGTGGAGTTGAGGGAAATAAAAGCTTTGGCCCCAGAGAGAAATGGGCAGCTTGTCGTCTCCTTCATGGTTTTTACTGTCAGCGTTTCAGGAACTAAAAGCTTTGGTTTCGTCTTGTCAGCTGTGGTCTTTCTCTCTATTTTTATTTAGTTTTGCTGGTTTAGGAGGAGTCTGACCCACAGAGGAACCAAGCCGTCCTGCAGCTGATGCTCTGATGGGAAAATCTCTAAAATTGGAGCTATGAGACAAAAAGAGGTACTGCACATTTACAACTTCGACCAGGTGGGGGACAAAAATGAGAAAAAATATTAAGCTAATGCTACTAATACTAAGTGAATACTGGTATTTTCCTTATAGTCACAGTTAACAGAAACATTTCAAATAGCACAGATGTTCATCACGTGACCAGCCAAACCAGGGACAAAGCTAAATCACCAGACAACTCTACAGTTGTCCAACGTGGGCTAAAACACCGGAGAATATTGTACCAAACCTGGGCTAAAACACCGGAGAATATTGTACCAAACCTGGTCTAAAGAACAAGAGAATATTGTTCCACACATGGGCTAAAAAAACAGAGAATTTCGTACCAAACATAGACTAAAACAACTGAGAATATTTGCCCAAACCTGGGCTAATACAACAGAGAATACTGGACCAAACCTGGGCTAATGCAAAGAATATTGTTCCAAACCTGGGCTAAAACAACAGAGAATACTGGACCAAACCTGGTCTAAAACAACAGAGAATAATGGACCAAACCTGGGCTAATGCAAAGAATATTGTTCCAAACCTGGGCTAAAACAGCAGAGAATACTGGACCAAACCTGGTCTAAAACACCAGAGAATAATGGACCAAACCTGGGCTAAAACAACAGAGAATACTAGACCAAACCTGGGCTAAAACACCAGAGAATACTGGCCCAAACCTGGGCTAAACAACAGAGAATACTAGACCAAACCTGGGCTAAAACACCAGAGAACACTGAACCAAACCTGGGCTAAAACACCAGAGAACACTGAACCAAACCTGGGCTAATACAACAGAGAATACTGGACCAAACCTGGGCTAAACAACAGAGAATACTAGACCAAACCTGGGCTAAAACACCAGAGAACACTGAACCAAACCTGGGCTAATACAACAGAGAATACTGGACCAAATCTGGGCTAAGACAACAGAGAATACTGGACCAAACATGGGCTAAACAACAGAGAATATTGGACCAAACCTGGGCTAAACAACAGAGAATACTGGACCAAACCTGGGCTAAACAACAGAGAATAATGGACCGAATCTGGGCTAAGACAACAGAGAATACTGGACCAAACATGGGCTAAACAACAGAGAATATTGGACCAAACCTGGGCTAAACAACAGAGAATACTGGACCAAACCTGGGCTAAACAACAGAGAATAATGGACCGAATCTGGGCTAAACAACAGAGAATACTGGACCAAATCTGGGCTAAGACAACAGAGAATACTGGACCAAACCTGGGCTAAAACAACAGAGAATACTGGACCAAACATGGGCTAAACAACAGAGAATACTGGACCAAACCTGGGCTAAACAGAGAATACTGGACCAAACCTGGGCTAAACAACAGAGAATACTGGACCAAACCTGGGCTAAACAACAGAGAATACTGGACCAAACCTGGGCTAAAACACAAGAGAATATTAAGTTCATGTTAGCATGCTAACATGGTTAGTGTTACATACCAAACTTTACAGATAAACTGCGACTACACAGTCAGAAGAGCAGGTCAAAGTGGAAACAGGTAGTGGGTCTGTAAACTGTGATGGATGGATTACAGCTGGGTAAAAAATCGTACTGTTCGCCTTCATTTCCTCTTCCAAATACGTTTGTTTCCAACCTGTGTCACCATCTCACTGCTTGTGGTTCTTCTTTTTAGTGATGTCACCATATTCCCAAATGTCTTCATTTAAATACAATCATATTATTACTGAGAGTCCAGCTGATGTAAGTACAAGTCTTCCACATGTACTTACGAACGCAGCGTTTCCTAACAGACGCCACCAGCCAAAGAGGAACTGCTCTATGTTGAAACCGAAACAGGAAGGGTTTGTCCACCGCTCTGTTCATCCAGGAAAAGAGTTTAGTGAGACAGTCTGACCAGCTTTTTATCAACACACAGAAGAAACTATATACCAACTGCTGAATTGGTTGAACCAGCTGAACTCTGTTTTTATGGCATGAAAATCAAGACTTTTATAAATACCACAGATATCCTGGTTTACAATTGGCTGACAGTTTATGACCACAACGTAAAACACCAGAGAAACTGGACCAAACCCGGTTTAAAACACCAGAGGGTACTGGAACAAACCAGTGCTCAAACACAAGAGGACACTGGTCCAAACCAGTGCTAAAACACCAGAGGGTAATGGAACAAACACGGTTTAAAACACCAGAAGATACAGACCAAACCACTACTAAAACACCAGAGGACACTAGTCCAAACCAGTGCTAAAACACAAGAGGACACTGATCCAAACCAGTGCTAAAACACTAGAGGGTACTGGTCCAAACCCGGTTTAAAACACCAGAGGATACGGACCAAACCACTACTAAAACACCAGAGGACACTGGTCCAAACCAGTGCTAAAACACTAGAGGGTACTGGACCAAACCTGGGCTAAAACACCAGAGGATATTGGACGAAACCACTACTAAAACACCAGAGGACATTGGTCCAAACCTGGGCTAAAACACCAGAGGATACTGAACCAAACCTGGGCTACAACACCAGAGGATACTGAACCAAACCTGGGCTAAAACACCAGAGGATACTGAACCAAACCTGGGCTAAAACACAAAAGGATTCTGGTCCAAACCTGGGCTACAACACCACAGGATACTGAACCAAACCTGGGCTACAACACCAGAGGATACTGAACCAAACCAGTGCTAAAACACCAGAGGATACTGAACCAAACCTGGGCTAAAACACCAGAGGATACTGAACCAAACCAGTGCTAAAACACCAGAGGATACTGGAACAAACCAGTGCTCAAACACAAGAGGACACTGGTCCAAACCAGTGCTAAAACACCAGAGGGTAATGGAACAAACCCGGTTTAAAACACCAGAAGATACAGACCAAACCACTACTAAAACACCAGAGGACACTAGTCCAAACCAGTGCTAAAACACAAGAGGACACTGATCCAAACCAGTGCTAAAACACTAGAGGGTACTGGACCAAACCTGGGCTAAAACACCAGAGGATATTGGACGAAACCACTACTAAAACACCAGAGGACATTGGTCCAAACCTGGGCTAAAACACCAGAGGATACTGAACCAAACCTGGGCTACAACACCAGAGGATACTGAACCAAACCTGGGCTAAAACACCAGAGGATACTGAACCAAACCTGGGCTAAAACACAAAAGGATTCTGGTCCAAACCTGGGCTACAACACCACAGGATACTGAACCAAACCTGGGCTACAACACCAGAGGATACTGAACCAAACCTGGGCTACAACACCAGAGGATACTGAACCAAACCAGTGCTAAAACACCAGAGGATACTGAACCAAACCTGGGCTAAAACACCAGAGGATACTGAACCAAACCAGGGCTAAAACACCAGAGGATACTGAACCAAACCTGGGCTAAAACACCAGAGGATACTGAACCAAACCTGGGCTAAAACACAAAAGGATTCTGGTCCAAACCTGGGCTAAAACACCAGAGGATACTGAACCAAACCTGGGCTACAACACCAGAGGATACTGAACCAAACCAGTGCTAAAACACCAGAGGATACTGAACCAAACCTGGGCTAAAACACCAGAGGATACTGAACCAAACCTGGGCTAAAACACCAGAGGATACTGAACCAAACCTATGCTAAAACACCAGAGGATGCTGGTCCAAACCTGGGCTAAAACACCAGAGGACGCTGGTCCAAACCTGGGCTAAAACACCAGAGGATGCTGGTCCAAACCTGGGCTAAAACACCAGAGGACGCTGGTCCAAACCTGGGCTAAAACACCAGAGGACGCTGGTCCAAACCTGGGCTAAAACACCAGTGGACACTGAACCAAACCTGGGCTAAAACACCAGAGGATACTGAACCAAACCTGGGCTAAAACACCAGAGGACACTGAACCAAACCTGGGCTAAAACACCAGAGGACACTGAACCAAACCTGGGCTAAAACACCAGAGGACACTGAACCAAACCTGGGCTAAAACACCAGAGGACACTGAACCAAACCTGGGCTAAAACACCAGAGGATACTGAACCAAACCTGGGCTAAAACACCAGAGGACACTGAACCAAACCTATGCTAAAACACCAGAGGATACTGAACCAAACCTGGGCTAAAACACCAGAGGACACTGAACCAAACCTGGGCTAAAACACCAGAGGACACTGAACCAAACCTGGGCTAAAACACCAGAGGACACTGAACCAAACCTGGGCTAAAACACCAGAGGACACTGAACCAAACCTATGCTAAAACACCAGAGGATACTGAACCAAACCTGGGCTAAAACACCAGAGGATACTGAACCAAACCTGGGCTAAAACACCAGAGGATACTGAACCAAACCTGGGCTAAAACACCAGAGGATACTGAACCAAACCTGGGCTAAAACACAAGAGGACACTGGATATAAGATGAGTCATGATCGTCTTAAGGGTCTGACAGCTGGATGATTCACCACATCAGCACTAATCATCTCTGACTCTCTGTCTTCCTGTTTCATTCTGGGAAACCTGAAACTGTCCAGTTCGACTGTGATGTTTCTGATTCACATCTGAGCGCGTGCAACTGGTGACGATCTGTGTGACATCATCTCGTCCAGCGTGAGAAGGACACAATTTTTTCGCAACCTGGCAATCTAAATGTTTTTCTCATTAATGGTTTTTATTAATGGTGTATGAAGATTTATTATCCATAAATACACTGTTTATACTGGAAGCCTTATTAGAAAGTACTACATGTGGTACTTCTACAGTTACTGCATGAGCTTCTGATACTTCATAGTCATTTTAAATTCACTGAAGTTGTACTATAGTATCCGTACATTCTTTATATATTATAATATTTACTTATATCAGACTTTTACTTGGAACACAGTATTTGTTCACTGTGGTATTAGTACTTTTACTGCAGTAACAATTTAAATGCATGACTTTTACTTACAACAGGGTATTTGTACACTGTGCTATTAGTACTTTTACTGCAGTTCACTTTCAATTTTGGACTTATACTTGGAACACAGTATTTGTACACTGTGGTATTAGTACTTTTACTGCAGTAAATTTTAAATGCAGGACTTTTACTTGGAACACAGTATTTGAACACTGTGGTATTAGTACTTTTACTGCAGTAACAATTTAAATGCATGACTTTTACTTACAACAGGGTATTTGTACACTGTGCTATTAGTACTTTTACTGCAGTTCACTTTCAATTTTGGACTTATACTTGGAACACAGTATTTGTACACTGTGGTATTAGTACTTTTACTGCAGTAACACTTTCATGGCAAGACTTTTACTTACAACAGGGTATTTGTACACTGTGGTATTAGTACTTTTACTGCAGTAACAATTTAAATGCATGACTTTTACTTACAACAGGGTATTTGTACACTGTGCTATTAGTACTTTTACTGCAGTTCACTTTCAATATTGGACTTATACTTGGAACACAGTATTTGTACACTGTGGTATTAGTACTTTTACTGCAGTAACACTTTCAAGGCAAGACTTTTACTTACAACAGGGTATTTGTACACTGTGCTATAAGTACATTTACTGAAGTTCAGTTTAAATACAGGACTTTTACTTGGAACGGGGTATTTGTACACTGTGCTATTAGTATTTTACCGCAGTTCACTTTAAATACAGGACTTTTACTTGCAACAGGGTATTTGTACACTGTGGTATTAGTACTTTTACTGAAGTTCAGTTTAAATACAGGACTTTTACTTGCAACAGGGTATTTGTACACTGTGGTATTAGTACTTTTACTGCAGTAACACTTTTACTCCGGTTAAGGATCTCAGTACTTCCTCCAGCACTGAATATTCCTTTAGCATCACAGGGAGTATTTATACCTACTAATTTCTTACAATACTTTCTAGTACATTCTGCAGTATTTCTCCTTCTGGTGAAAAAAACAAACTTTTCGCACTGAATTAATGTTGAAGTTTAAAGAAGAAGAAGTGAGTGACAGGAACACACGCACACACTCTGGGAGTGGTCGCGCTTCAGGTCCAGTTTCCTGCAGCAGCGTCAACAAACAAACAAACAAACATACAAGCAGGTTATTGATCCGCTGGAGAACCGATCGATCAGCTGACGGGAATCAGAGCAGAGATCAATGACGCGCTAAAAGTTTGGACAGGGAGGTGAAACACACGTGCGCGCGCAGACACACACACACACACTCAGCTGCTCGGTTGCTCCCGGAGCTCCGGGGCGGATGAAAACACTCACCGGTCATCAGTCCTCCTCTCCGGGCTCACTGCTCAGCTCCGTCCCGCTGCTGCTCCGGGTGTGTGTGTGTGTCAGTGTGTCAGTGTGTGTGTGTGCGGGAGGGACGGCGGATCTGTATCTCAGTGCGAGGCGGGCGGGCGGAGCCAATGAAGAGGAGGAAGTCCGAGAGGAGAAAGAGAGGAAGTGGTCGAGTAACTTTGGGGAAGTTTACTGCGTTTGTGCGTGCGCGCGCGCGCGTGCGTGTTCAGTCCAGAGTTGAGAAACACTGAAATGTTTCTGAAGTAATTTAAACAACCAATTAGAGATCAGCAGCATTAAGGCCCCGCCCACCACCAGGTTGATTGACATCAAGCTGGTTAGCTTAGCTTAGCATAAAGACTGGAAACAGAGGGAAACTGCTAGCCTGGGGGGGCAGAAGCCATTTTGTTAGTTTCTCATGTTAAACTTTATTGTCGCTGAACTTCCTGTTGAGAAACTAAACCTGAATCTGTTACCTGAACCTTCACCTGCACATGCGCACTGTGGCCGCACGGTGGCGCCATTACACCGCTGCGTCAGACACATGCTGCCTTCCAGTGCGCTCGGAATGTGCACAATCACGATCAGGAACCACAGCAGAAGAGACTAATGTGTTTATTTTCTGATATCTCTGTAAGTTTAAACGTGTCAGACTTCATCAAGATGGAGAGGATTCAAGAAAATTACTGCGTTCAAATGAAACGATTTGTTAATTAATCGATTTAAAGAACCAACAAGAAGAAAACTTATTGGCAACTAATTTGATAATCGAGGAATCGTTTCAGCTTCTCAGATGTGATTTGTTTTATTAAACAATGAACTGAACATGTTCAGGAGGATAAGACGATGTCACAGCTGTGGAAACTTGTAACAGGAGTTACATATTTATATATAAAATATTTTATATTGATTTATTGATTGATTGATGATTGACTTACAGGTTACTGCCAACTCTGATAATCAGATGTCACCTGCAGGCAAAACTCAGAGCTGTAAACATAACTCTACACATTTTTAGGTTAAATAAAATATATTTATTCTGTTAAAAACCTGCTGGAACTGAACTTGAATCTAATATTAAATGCAATAAAGGTGCACATACAACATTGATTTAAGTGTGACATCATCAAGAACAAGTAAAGTTAATTAACAATTTTATAAATTTACAAAGTATTTTTATATTATTGTTATTAGGCTACCATTAATTTTGTAAGCTTTTATATGACACATTATAATATGTTGATTGATATAAATATATAAAATGCAGAAAATAGACTTCACATGCTTTATTTTATTTATATTTGGTTGAATTTGTGTCTGTTTGCCTTATTCAATTTGGAAAAAAAATTAAATTAGATGAACAAACGATCAATGACTCGTCTCAGGGCATCAACCGGTGAACCTGATTGGTTGTCAGCTGACCTGTGACCTGCAGCCGCTCATTGATCTCATTGGTCTTTGTAATACAGACCAGGTTTCACATCTGTCAACAGCGTGATGCTTTTATTATATAAATGTAAATGTGTTTTGTGAGAAAGGAATCATTTATATTTCATATTTATCTGTGATCATTTTGTGACATATTTTAGAATCAAAAGAGTTTTTTTTTTTAATTAATTAAAATATCAGAAGTGCTGAAAAGAACAGATACAGTCACATCTCATAAAAACAAATATGACATTTAAAAAACTGAGAAAAAAATCGGCTGCAACTAAGAAATATTTTCACTATCAATCCTTGATTAATCATTTAATTTATAAAATGTCCCAAAGTGACGTCTTTACGTTCAACATCAGAAAGTGTTTGCGCTTGTAAAATGACTAAAATGATAAATCAATTATTAAATCGTTACCTATTCATCTACCAATCGATTAACCGACATGTTGTTGCAGCTCTACAGTGAAAAGATGAAATGAAGACACACGTGTGTGAATTCGGAGTTTTATTGCGGGTCCGTGAACGCAGCGCAGGCGGATCTCTCCGTGAGTGGTTTTACCTCAGCAGCAGCAGCAGTTTCCAGAGTTCGGGTCTCGGGGTGGAGAACCGAGGAACGGACCGTCTCTTCGGCGCACACAGGACTTTCCTTCCGATCAGTTTGTGCGGATCGATCGGAGCTGATCAGATCTGATCGATGGATTAGAGGCTGCTGAAGAGGTGAGCGATGGCTTCAGGGTTTGAAGTGAACAAAAAGTGCGTGTTTCTGCAGAGGAAGCTGTTTTCCGCTGTGTGAAGCCCAACAGCTGTGTGACCTCTGACCTCCGGAGGACCGACCCGCACAGGAGCGGGTTCCTGGAGCTGAGGCGGATCAATCACCCGAGTATCGACACGTCTGTTGTTCTGCTCGCGTGCAGCTGCAGGTGGTGTTTTATTTGAGGCCATTTACATTTAAAAAAAAAAAAAAAAACACATTTTCTTGTTCCTGCTGGTGAGAGGAACAGAGGGCCGTGAACGCCTCATCCTGTCTGTTCTCCTGATCAACATTTAACATCTTTATCAAACTTAAATGTGTTTGTGTGTAAATGTGAGTCTCCTGTAAGTCACGTGACTTAGAGATATTTAGTGAGAAACGCCACCTGGTTTGTTTTAGGAGAAAGTAACTAAGTAAATTTACTCAAGTACTTAAGGGCGAATTGTTTATCTTGGGAATCCCGGATGTTGATTCTAGAGTCTGAAAGATGAAACCAGTTCCACCAACTGGATATTTTCACGTGACTGGATTAATGATATTGAATTTGAGCCACTCCTGAATCCTGAATATGCTTTCGGTACTTGAATTTCCTTTCTAACCTGTGAAACCTGAATGTATCTGCACAGGCGTAAAATCAAAGTAAAGTTTTTCGGTGTTTTAAATTTGGTTAAGTTGCTGCTAACATTTCAAACTGTTACGGGAGTTTCATTTGCTTCCATCAGCAGATCACTGGTTCTCAAAGTGAGGTCCGGGGACCCCCAAGGGACTTTGAGGTGGTTCCAAGGGGTCCCCAGCAAAAAGGGGGGAACTTGACGCAGAAGTATAAGAATGTGATAGATCGTTGGCTTTTCAGTCCCTCCAGCATCTCGCTGTCTTTTTTTATGATTTTGCAGCAGCTTTTTTTTTTTATATATTGTGATGAAATTTGCAGTCACAGTTGATGTTTTTGGGCGTTTTTTTGTAATGAAATTGTGGCAATAAGTGAAAACTGATATTTTTAACTTTAAAATTGCAGCTGAATCATTAAACAGTCCCTCCAGGACTTGGCGGGCCTGCTTATTTGAACCAGCTGGTTCTGTCCTGCAGCTGATCGGATGCAGCAGCCCGTGTCTCAGCGTCTCTCTGACGTTTCTCTCAAAGTGTTTGTCAGCAGACGATTTCCTTTATGTTCGACCACGATCCTGCACGTTCTGCAGAACAGTTTTCCTGCTTTGGTGAAGAAGATCTGGATCCTGGTCTTCACGTCCCTTTGATGGTATTGTTGTAGGTAAATGTGAGGCGTTGGTATCAAACACACGTCTGCTGCGTGATGGGTGGATTAAAGCACCAGGTTCTTATTGGACAGTCGAACGACCTCAGGGACGATTTGTTGTTCAGATCAGACTCAGGATGTGGTGGAAATGTTTACATGATGCGGATTATTAATTCCCAGATGTGACGCTTGAACTAACATGAACAAGCTGTGTGCAAGTCTGGTTTGAGATGTCACATGTATGAAACCCTTCTTCCTGTCTTTCCTCAGACATGGACGGTGCGTGTGCGTGGCTGGTGTGTGCGTTCGTGCTGAGTGTCGGGGCTCACAGTTCACGTGACAGGAGTGACCACGTCCACCCGGACCATCGTCCGGTTTCCAATGGCAACGCAGCCTCAGGTAGGAAACACACTTCCTGTGTGTGTGTGTGTTGTTTCCATGACCAGAGGATGAACCCCTCTGACTTTTCCTCTAGCGCCATCATCAGCTCAACATGTTAATGTGTCCAACACTTCATCAGCCTCAGCTCTGTTTACTGCTAACTAGCTAAAGTTAGCATGCTAACACGCTAAGCTACGATGGTAAACGTCAGCATCACGTTTTTCCGCTGGAGACATTCTTAAACGATGTCCAGAGTGTGCAACACGTTCTCACTCCCAAGTCGTCACAAATGGACGCATGGTCAAGACCCGTTGGCGTCAGTTTGTAACGCACTGTGGGAAGACCTGCAGCTTTTCACTTTCGAAGGCTGAAGGGAGGTGTAGGATATTTAGCAGAAAGGTCAGAGTAAGGAGGTGGCTGGGGAGGATGGTGGGTTTCCCATGTGAAACAGAAAGTTAACATTAAATGTTTATTTTAACATTAATGTAATTTGACCGAACCTGACAAACCTGACCAAGTGGTTTTGGTGCCTAAACCTGACCAAGTGGTTTTGGTGCCTAAACCTGACCAAGTGGTTTTGGTGCCTAAACCTGACCAAGTGGTTTGGGTGCCTAAACCTGACCAAGTGGTTTTGGTGCCTAAACCTGACCAAGTGGTTTGGGTGACTAAACCTGACCAAGTGGTTTTGGTGCCTAAACCTGACCAAGTGGTTTTGGTGCCTAAACCTGACCAAGTGGTTTTGGTGCCTAAACCTGACCAAGTGGTTTTGGTGCCTAAACCTGACCAAGTGGCTTTGGTGCCTAAACCTGACCAAACTGTGATGTTTACATTTTATTTTATTTATTTAGCTGACGCTTTTATCCAAAGTGACTTACAATTGCTGTACATATCAGAGGTCTCACACCTCTGGAGCAACTAGGGGGTTAAGTGTCTTGCTCAGGGACACAATGGTGGATCTCTCACAGTGGGAACTGAACCCAGGTCTCCCACACCAAAGGCAAGAATCTTATCTATGCGCCATCACCACCCCATGTTTCACAACGTTAACTACTAAATTCATTTTGAAAGCCTAACCAGACGTTGCAAATTTGTTTTTGCTAACTTGACCGCGGAGCCCTACACGTCCAAAAACAGTGGTTTTGGTGCCTAAACCTGACCAAGTGGTTTTGGTGCCTAAACCTGACCAAGTGGTTTTGGTGCCTAAACCTGACCAAGTGGTTTTGGTGCCTAAACCTGACCAAGTGGTTTGGGTGCCTAAACCTGACCAAGTGGTTTCGGTGCCTAAAGCTGATCAAGTGGTTTCGGTGCCTAAACCTGACCAAGTGGTTTCGGTGCCTAAAGCTGATCAAGTGGTTTCGGTGCCTAAACCTAAGCAAGTGGTTTGGGTGCCTAAACCTGACCAAGTGGTTTGGGTGCCTAAACCTGACCAAGTGGTTTCGGTGCCTAAAGCTGATCAAGTGGTTTTGGTGCCTAAACCTGATCAAGTGGTTTTGGTGCCTAAAGCTGACCAAGTGGTTTTGGTGCCTAAACCTGACCAAGTGGCTTTGGTGCCTAAACCTGACCAAACTGTGATGTTTACATTTTATTTTATTTATTTAGCTGACGCTTTTATCCAAAGTGACTTACAATTGCTGTACATATCAGAGGTCTCACACCTCTGGAGCAACTAGGGGGTTAAGTGTCTTGCTCAGGGACACAATGGTGGATCTCTCACAGTGGGAACTGAACCCAGGTCTCCCACACCAAAGGCAAGAATCTTATCTATGCGCCATCACCACCCCATGTTTCACAACATTAACTACTAAATTCATTTTGAAAGCCTAACCAGACGTTGCAAATTTGTTTTTGCTAACTTGACCGCGGAGCCCTACACGTCCAAAAACAGTGGTTTTGGTGCCTAAACCTGACCAAGTGGTTTTGGGGCCTAAACCTGACCAAGTGGCTTTGGTGCCTAAACCTGACCAAGTGGTTTTGGTGCCTAAACCTGACCAAGTGGTTTGGGTGCCTAAACCTGACCAAGTGGTTTTGGTGCCTAAACCTGACCAAGTGGTTTGGGTGCCTAAACCTGACCAAGTGGTTTTGGTGCCTAAACCTGACCAAGTGGTTTTGGTGCCTAAACCTGACCAAGTGGTTTTGGTGCCTAAACCTGACCAAGTGGCTTTGGTGCCTAAACCTGACCAAGTGGCTTTGGTGCCTAAACCTGACCAAGTGGTTTTGGTGCCTAAACCTGACCAAGTGGCTTTGGTGCCTAAACCTGACCAAGTGGCTTTGGTGCCTAAACCTGACCAAGTGGTTTTGGTGCCTAAACCTGACCAAGTGGTTTTGGTGCCTAAACCTGACCAAGTGGTTTGGGTGCCTAAACCTGACCAAGTGGTTTTGGTGCCTAAACCTGACCAAGTGGTTTTGGTGCCTAAACCTGACCAAGTGGTTTGGGTGCCTAAACCTGACCAAGTGGTTTTGGGGCCTAAACCTGACCAAGTGGTTTTGGTGCCTAAACCTGACCAAGTGGTTTTGGTGCCTAAACCTGACCAAGTGGTTTTGGTGCCTAAACCTGACCAAGTGGTTTTGGGGCCTAAACCTGACCAAGTGGTTTTGGGGCCTAAACCTGACCAAGTGGTTTTGGTATTTAAGTATTTATTAATCTGATTCCTCATTGAACAGATTTGAGGCTCTTTTGCAGAATCAGAATCTCTGTTTGTGCTTATGATCCTGAATCTGGATCTTTTTGTGGCTGCAAATGATCTTAATTGATTTCAGGGAGAATCAGTCAAACGGCTGTTTGTTTCTTCAGAGAGGCTTTAAGCCTGGAATACTCAGAGGGAATATCTGGATTTATTTCACACAGCAGTCGGCCTCTTCATTTCAAAGCCATGTGAGGCGCCGTTTCTCCTCTTTATGTGCGTCCGCATGCTTCAGAGTTTACTTCCAGGACGCACATTCTCCCTCAGGTCTGTTTGTTATAGATCACAACCTTTGCTTGGGAAGCGGCGTCCACATGTTTCTGGCCCTGTTCTGAACGAACCGTTTATAAACGAGTTAAACTTTTTTCCCCTCTCGTCTCCACCGCACCTCGCTCATTTTTCTCTAACAGACGTCCGCAGCCGGCGGTCGTCTCACGGCGTTACCGTCCTCGGTCTCACCTGCGACACAAGCGTGCCGCTTTACATGCTTTTTAAAAAGTGCCTGATGGGAAGTGAAGTTTCCCTGCGTCCCGTGTTCGGACCGACCTGATGTTCAGTATGTGTGACTTTGACTCGACCTTTGTCCTGTTTAATTCTATTATGTCTGTATTTTTATCCTCACAGCTGCTGATCTTAATCCCCAGACTAAACTCTGCCTCTTCTTCACCTGTCGCGCTGTTTCCTCCTCTGTCTTCTTCTGTGGTGTTGTGGACCATCACAGTGGACGAGTGGGAAACTTGAGCTGGAGACGCCTCTGCGAAAGGTTTAGATCTGTAGCTGTGCATCAGGTTTCAGCTCTGCACATGATGGTGTGAACTCTGTGGTCGTGTTTTAAACCTCAGACACAATCGAGACAGCTGAGCACCACAAGGGGAAACAGTTTCAGTTTTTACAGCCTGTATTTCTTCACTTTTTGGCTCCGTTAACAGGAGCTGAATTAGCAGTTAGCATAGATGTACAGACAGCTGTCTCTGGATCACTGTGATACTGAGAGCCCGTTCTCGTCTCAGGGCGTCCAGTACTGACGCTTTCAGAAAAAGTGACAAAGCGTAGTTGTCTGTATGAGACACTCTGGGGCGTTAAAGGTGTTGACGGCCCCCCTGAAACCCCCCTACCCTTACCATAACCATCATTTGCTGCAACGTTTTGTCACGCTGTCGGTAATGACGCCCTGAGATGAGAACGCGTTGGTCCTGAAGGAAACTTAAAAACGTGAAGATTCTCAAGAAGTTCTGCGGCCTCTCTCTCTGGTTTCTGAGCTGACTTCTGGACGTTTTAAATCTGGACCGGCATCAGAGATATGATCCTCCCTTCCCCTCAGAACACTTCACATCTTCTCTTTTTGCATTCTCACCACCTATAGCAACACTTGGTCTGGACCAATCACCACACACGTACAGTACGTGGTACATAAGTCACAGTGGATCTAAAAATATGTGTCTGCATGTTCAGATCTGACAGAGTTATGAATCAGCAGCAAAACTATAACAACTAACTTCTTCTCTCTTCTGTTTGAAACCAAACTAACCAGTTGGCTGTGGAGCAGTGAGTGTGATCTGTAAACCTGCTCCTCCTGATACCTGATCTGTGCTAATATTTACCCAGAGCGCTCGCACGCTCGCACGCTCTGCTGCATGTTCACTGTTATCTGCAGTGTGAACGGCTGATATTTACACTCCAGTCTGAGTTACCTGACATCTGGATCAGCTGCAGCTCCACCAGGGCAGAGAAAGTAAACGTGAGGAGGTCAAAGGTCAGCAGGTAGAAAAGGGACAGCAGTGTTTCCCCCATATGCATTCAGGAGCGCCGCTGCGTAGCGTAGCGAGTGTTTGACTGTCCGAGCGGCAGAAAGTGACGGTGAACGCGAGCGGAGGAAAATATTCTGGCAGTAAATGTGCGTGTCTGTTACAGAGTGTCGGCTTCTCAAGACCGAGAAAAGTCTGTTGTTTCCCACCTGCTGGAAAAGTGTTAGCTAACATCTCCCCTTCAGACTGAGCAGCTTCTACAGCAGCTACAGAGCTGCACTGTAACTGAACATTAGCTCAATTTATAGAAAGTAACTGGAAGCTGGATTTTATTACTGCCGACTTGTCCAGTGTTGAGAACATCAGGTACAAACTTAGACTAAACTGACGCAGCCTGCAGCTCCGTCCTGTACAGACAAATTATTTTTCAGTTTTCAGTCTGAAAAAGTGGTTTTGGAAAAGAAAGGACGGAGGTGACCGGAGGAGCTGAGGTCAGTGAAGCTAATTAGTGATGCAAACTCGTCCTTTTAAGCCGATGAGGAGACGTTTCTTTTTGGATTTTAATGTGCAAATAAAATGCACCTCAGAAGGG